TGAATGAGAAGGTTCGCTTTATTGTGGCCTCACTCCCAGATGTGGACACCCCAGGAGCCTCAATATACCTTTATGAAGATGGAGAGCTGGTCAGCAAGAACTTTGAGTTGCCCTCAAAACCTCTCCCTTTCCTGGTCAGTGAACTGAGTCATAACAGCATTCAACTGAAGTTTCAGCCAGCAGAATATGGAAAGGGTACAATCTCCAGCTATCTGGTAGAGTACAAGGTTGCAGGGGAAGAAAAATGGAAGACTGTGAGGAGAGAGGATGCCAGGGAGATGTTCCTGCTGAAAGATCTGTCTCCAAACACAGAGTGCCTATTCCGGTATGCTGCTTGTTGCAAGCTAGGCCTTAGTAAATCCAGTGACCTGAGCCCACCCATAAAGACCCTTCCCACCAGCCCTCCTGAGAAATTAAGAATGGTCACTGTGGCATCTTCTGTCATCTCTGTGGCCTGGATGGGTCCCAGCATTGTTGCCCCAGGAGTTGTGGTCAAGGAGTACAAGGTGGAGTACAGAATGGTGGAGGCTGCAGCTGGGAAGGACCAATGGACTGAAAAAAGTAGTGGGAGAAAAACAGAATTTTATTCCATCAAAGGTCTGAAGCCACAGACGGTGTATAGAATACGGGTGTCAGCTGTGTGTGATAATGGAGCTCTGGGTGTCCCCAGTGAGGAGGTGGAGGTCTCCACTTCACTGGAGGAAGAAGATGCAGAAAATGTAGCTCACCAGTTCCTTCAGGAAAGCTCCCTGGTGGAGGACAGACAACCATTACTGTTCACCCTTCCTTTGGAGAAAGTCTCCTCAGATGTCTCCACTTCCTCTCTGTTGTACCAGCTTGGAAAGGAGAACCTGGAAGTGCCCAATAAGGTGATCCTGGTGATGGGAGCAACAGGGAGTGGGAAAACCCTTTTGATCAACGGGATGATCAATTATATCCTGGGTGTCCAGTGGGAAAATAATTTCAGATTCAAACTCATTCATGAAACCACCCAGAGAAGTGAAGCTGGAAGCAGGACGCCTGAAGTCACAGCCTACGTGGTGAACCATCAGAAGGGCTTCCGAATTCCCTACTCTCTCACAATCATTGACACTCCAGGGTTTGTAGGCCCAGGAGACGCAGAGCAAGACAAACTGGTTGAGAAGAAGCTCCTGGAGTTTTTCTCCACCCCAGGGGGAATTGACCAAGTGGATGCCATCTGCTTCGTGGCCCAGGCTTTCCTTGCCCATTCAACTCATGCCCAGAAATGCATCTTTGATTCCATGCTCTCCATGTTGGGAAAAGACGTGAAGGATAATGTGCAACTCCTGTTCACCTTTTCAGATGGGGGGACCCCACCTGTCCTGGAGGCCCTCAAGGAGGCTGACCTCCCGTGTGCTCAGGATGAGTCGGGAATCCCTCTGTACTTCAGATTCAACCATTCATCCCTCTTTGCTCCCCGTGAACATGGAGGAAGCCACAATGCTGCTTCTGAAATGTTCTGGAAAATGAACACTGAGAGCATGAAGAATTTCTTTGACTCATTAGAGATGCTGGAGACCAAAAGTTTAACTATGACCATGGAGGTCCTCAAGAAACGTCAGGAGCTGGAAGCTGCTCGTAGAAGACCTCCACCTCCTAAGGTTGAGCAAGTGCACCCAAATAGTTTCCAGATCAGTATTGATCCAGTAATCACTGGGAAGCCTTCAGTCTCCAGGTACCTGGTGGAATATCGGATTGCAGAAGAGAATTGGAAAAGTCTCAATACCAAAGGCCTTAAGGATCAATTCACCCTGGAAGATGTCCACCCAAATCTTCAGCACCAGTTCCGATGTGCAGCTGTGACTCAAGAAGGGCTCGGTCAATGGAGTGAGGTGATCACTTGCATCTGTCCCACAGGGAGGCCTGCTGAGGTAACTCGAGCTTGGGGGGAGGAGGAGGAGGAGAGAGTAGAATAGCCTGATACCAGTTGTGGGGTCTCCATCTCTGGAGATTTTGAAGAAAAGACTGGACAGCCACTTGTCTGAAATGATATAGAGTCTCCTCCTTGAGCAGGGGGTTGGGTGAGAAGACCCCCAAAGTCTCCCATTCTGCATTCAGGGAGGGGAGCCATGGGACAGCGGAGGTTCCCAAGGGGCAGAATTGGGTGGGGATGGGGGAGGCATGGGTGAAAATCAGCATTCTCAGCAGAGGTTGATTTCATGGGATGTCAGGGGATTCAAGAAAGAGCCCCCCCCAAAGGGCCCCCCCCCCCAACCTCCCAGAAAGGATTCAGTTCAGACTGCCTTGAAGGGGAAACTGGGAGGCCAAATAGTGGGTGGCGGGAGGGGCAGACGGGGGGAACCTGGAGGAAGATGACCTGGGGTGACCCTTGGGGACAATCTGGAGCTGCAGCAGGAGCAGCTAAAGCGCCAGGGAACAGGATCCATTCGAGCACAGAGTCTGCTGTGGG